TTACGTTATTTGTATGCAGCTCGTAAGGGTCATTTCAAGGTCATGCCGTCTATGCCACATAATACATCTTTTCATACCATAAAAATTATGTCTAAGACATTTTGTCGAAAAATGAATAGTTTCGGAAATAATTGTTTGCTTCCATACTTTTTCCCCACCCTGTAGATATAAAAAGGAAAAAATACTTATGTATCTGATTGTTCTTTATTTGGATTTTCTCCATCGTTGAATTTAGCCTTCTTCGCGCTTATTGTTAGTTTGTCCTGGCTATTCTGTTCCATGAAGTAATTTTCAATATCCGTATTGCTGAACATTTTGTTTATATGTTTTGGAATATCGTCTTCGCAATTGGAAAGTGAGTACATTCTTTTAAATGATGTTATTGGAACGATTATTCCTTTAGTACTGATCGTTTTGTAAAAAATGATTACACAATTATATAATTATGTGTAATATCATTTTCCCCTTCCCTTTCATTCTCTCGTTTATACATGTATTTATATATGTTATATATGTATCACATATATTAATAGTTTAGGTAATATATAACATGTTTATATATGTATTAACTATACTGAATGAATTGATTTAAGATACTTGCAACTGTTGCAATAATCCATCTCTCGAACATTCAGTGTTAAGTATTTTTTTTTATACTATTGGGTATGGGAATAAGTTTCCGCCTTTTTTGAAAAGAAAAAGATGTGTTTATTTAAACAAATCTATATAAGTGAGTTTATTCCAAGTATGCTCCTTCGGAAGCGACAACTTTCTCCCACTTTTCCGGTAATAAACGGATTCCTCGAATGAAAAAATCTGGTTCTTTTGAACCGATCCATTCATCAAGCCATTTTTTTATATCTTCATAAGAATTGAATCATTCTCCAGAAAGGGCCGACTGCATGGATCGGAACAAATGGAAATCTGAAGTAGCAATGTCCGGTGAATACAGCGAGTGGGGCAGAATTTTCCACTTTACTCCTTCCAAGTATTTCTTGACCGGTTTTGCAACGTGTGGCCTAGCGTCGTCATGTAACAGAATCAGCTTGTTGTGCCTATTGTCCCATTCCAGTCGTTTTTCTTTCAAAGCTTGGTTTAAACGTATCAGTTGTAGTCGATAACGATCGCCAGTGATGGTTTTGGACGATTTGAGCAGCTCATAATATTGTTGCGCCCGACGCACGAGATTGCACTCGGATAGTTACGCGCACTCCCGAGCCACGGAAATAAAGAGACTCAAGGCTTAAAGAGTAGGAAATAAGAAGCCGTTTATTCAATAACGTCGGTACCACGAGATCGTCAGTACATAAGTAGCGTAACGAAAATATGTAATCGGCGGAGAAGCACGTCCGTACGTCTTGACTGCTCTCCGAAGATCTGACAGCTGTTCACCGTCAACAACGGCACGTCGTCTTGACAACGCGACACCACGGGTGTCAGCACAGCACGGCATGCGACGGAGCATGGGCGTAACACTGCCCCCCTTCTGAAAA